GCCCGACACACAGAGGTCACTTCAGAAATGTCCACCCCCATTCTTCTTATCCTTCACTCTTTGTACAGGGAGGGAAGCTGAGGACTGGAGGGGGAGGAGGGCCACAGAGTGAGTTAGGAGAAGCAGACACACACACACACACACACACACACCGCCTTGTCTCCCAAGCCCCAACTCTGAGCCTGGGCCTCAGTTTCCCTTGCTGCTCAACGGGGATGAGGCACACTTTGGTGGGGGAGACAGGTGACACTGCCATGTGAGGACCACATAGAAACCAACCCAGCCGGAGCAGCAGGCCAGGACTCAGGGGCCCCAGCCCTCACCGGCCCCCCATGCTCCTTCTCCCTGCAGAAAGCCCGAGAACGGGGGGCCAAGGTAGTGCGGGAGCCCTGGGTGGAGGAAGACAAGTTTGGGAAGGTGAAGTTTGCTGTGCTGCAGACGGTGAGTTCCCTTTGATGTCCCTGTCCCTCCTACTGCCAGAACCCACTGAGATGCCAGGATGCTCCTAATTCACCCCATTACACCATCCCACCCATGGGCCTCAGAACGTGGGCTTCTCCTAGGCTCTGTCCTCCCAAAGTGCCTGGCCAGAGTGCAGAGGTGGCAGGGGCCACCAGCCACACTTCCCAGGTTCCCCTGCCCCCCCAGTGGGAGATGACTGGCATGGGGGCATCAGTTTTGTGCAGGGGCTTGTTCAAAAGGAGAGAAGGGGGGGCCTGGAAGCCACACCCCACACTAGCTGTGAGTCCATGGACAGACCAACTTCCCTCTCTGGGACTCAGTTTAAATAAGCAAGGGTTGAATTAGACTCCTGTGTCACCTGGGGCACACTAGTACACCACCCTGTGCCTCAGATCCTTTAGCTAGATCCTCTCCCAGGGCCATTGTGAGTGCTGAGTGTGACCATTGGTGGAGAGCACTTAGAACAGCAGAGCCTGGCACACCGTAGGCACTTAGCAGAGATGACTGATTCTGCAGCCCCGTGCTGCTATAGGACAGAGATGATCCCCTTAGGCAGGAAGAGCATTAAGCTTGTGGAACACCCTTCAGCATTAGAGCTGATGCCTCCACAGACACCATGATGAGCGACACAGCATCCCTGTCCTCACAGGGCTTCTGGTCCGCTGAGGCAGGTAGACTGTGATGGAAACTCCTAAATGAATGACAGATGGCAACAAATGCCAGTCAGGGGAAGTGAATTTCTTTTTTTTTTTAACACATATTTTTTAGTTATAGGTTGACACAATATTTTTATTTTACTTTTATGTGGTGCTAAGTATCAAACCCAGGGCCTCACGCATGAAGGTGAGCACTCTACCACTGAGCCACAGCCCCAGGCCAGGGGAAATAACTTTCCCAGGATCACATGTCGACTTAGGAACTCAGGGCTGGGTTGGGGCCATGAAAAGGCCCAGCAGTGGTGGGAGGGGGCACAAGGCTGAGCCAGTCTGCTTCCCATCCCTAGTTTGGGGACACCACCCACACTCTGGTAGAGAAGACGAACTACACCGGCTGGTTCCTGCCTGGATTCGAGGCCCCCCTGCTCAAGGACTCCCTGCTTCCCAAGCTGTGAGTGCCCCAGGCTGCAGGAGTCGGGTGGAGAGCCTGTCCCCCTCCTCCATGTGGACTGGGCTTCTGTGATGGGACTGAGCTCCTGGTGGCTGCTGGAGCCCTCTGAGGGCACAGAGCAAACGGGCCCCAACACCTGAGGGCCCCAGGTCCCATCCCAGCCTCCTCCCTCCTCAGCCATTGGACCTTGGGCAGGGCACTGGAGTTTTCGATGGCCCTGGGTCTTCATCTATAAAGTAGGGGTTGCACTAATGAGTTAGTTAAG